CCTCCGCCGCTGCCCCCCGCCCCGGGGTGGTCCCTCAACCCGCTCTGCCGCCGCCTTTCCGGGCTGCCGGCAGCAGCGTTTCTGTACGGCTTGCTGATCCGCAACTTTTTTTTTTAAAAAAAGAAAACCCTTCCCCATGCAGAAGTTTATGGAAATGTGTCCGCCGCCACCGTCTGTGCCAGGCGGGACAATGTTGAACTGCACCGTGTAACTGCAGGCAAAGCTGAGACAAAGGGATATCGGGCATTGTTTTTTCCACAGGTGACTAGATCCCGTAGGCATTTAGTGGAAGTGAGACCCATAGGTCACTTGTGAAAACCCTTCTCCATTCAGTCAAGACCTTTTTGCCTCCAAAATCAAAGGTGCATCGGCCAGCGTCGTGTCCTAAAGCTTCAAAATGGACACAGAGCCCGGATATGAAGTTCAAGATGCAGTGAGGGTTAGATGGGTGGGGGAGCCCTGCTCATTCAGGGTTAATAAGAGTTGAATTTGAATTTTCACCTCAAAAGGGCAGGAGAAAGTGGAGGCAGAGGTTTGGTTCAAGTCCGTCTTTAGTCAGCGCAGAAGCTTCCTCTGAGAAGGAGCCTCTGACTTGTGAAACTTGCAGATGGATCCGTTCAACTAAAAACAGCTGGCTGCGTTTGGTGGCCTTGCTAGCCAGCTCCTAATTGTTTTCATTTAAACAAGGAGCTTTGCTTCTTCCTGGCTTATCTGCTCTTCTTTTAATTGTAGAGAAGTCAAAATAAAGCAGGCTTTGACAGTAATATTTTTGCACAGAACAAACTACACCACTGATAAAAGTAATCCCATATGCTTCTGTCACACAAATCTGAGATCAGAATGTAACTACCCTGATGACATGCCTCTCTAGTCCCTTAACTATCAGCAGGGGCCGAAGAAAAATGTCCTCTCAGCCCTGAGGGGTGGGTTGTAGGTATTGTCTATCAGTCTCCATGCAGGAAGGAAGAGTGGCCTATATATAACACTAAACCTAGGTTGTGAGCAGTAGTGCACAGGAGCAACTCTGCTAGTATCTCCACCAAAGTAGCTGGGGTTCTTCCACGAAAACACAGCCATACTGAAACTGCTCATCAAACGTAAGGACATAGCAGTGACTGGGTCCTTTGCTACCATTCCAGCACAGGCAGAGGAGACAGCCCTGGCATAGACAGGTTTCTGGCTGCTAAAAGTGTAAATTGTTACTCCCGACAGTGCCATGAAAGTGTTTTGCTATATGATTTGGCAGATAAGAAAGTCCAAACCTAGCTAATATTTTGAATTGAACTGTTGTAAGCAGAAGTGGATGATTTTCAAAATAGAGTTTAGTTAGCAGTAATCTTCCTTGACTCCCAACAGTCTAGTGAGACCTGCAGGTGGAGGGTACCAAAGAAACAAACAGCTAAAACATCAGAATGGGGCAACTAAGTGAGCTGGTTGCCAATAGGAGAGGTGTGTTTGATGATTAAGCATACTACAAAGGAATCCTCAAGTTTTTGATTCACTTTCCCTCCCTTTTCTAGAAATAGTTTCCCTTTCCTAGCAGAAGCAAGACTAAAACTCTTGTGGTTAGCTCCACCTGAGCAGCTACATCATGCTATACTCGGAAGGCAGAAGAAGAAAAACAGTGATTCCTCACTGGAAGCAGCAATCTGAAGTCTAGAAATTCAGTGCTCTGTTGTCACGCGAGCCTGCTCTCCAAGTTGTGGAGGAGTCTTCTGTCTTGGCAAGGAGCCCATTTACAAGGGTAAACCTCATGCTGGGGCTGATCCAGTGCCTGCTGAAGACAGGAGGAACATTTCCACTGGTGTCTGGGAGCCTTGAATGAGACTTTTCCTTTCCACATGAAATGTAAACAAACTCTTTTCTCTAAAATCCACCACTGTTGCTGCTCCAATGGCAGTGGGAGGGTAGAGTCAAATGGACACTGTTTTTCTGTTTTATATAAAGCATCATCTGACACTGTTCAACATGAGATGAGAACAAAGTAAAAGATCAGGAAATTTCCAAAACTTTGCCCATTGCTGCACTTGCACAGCCACACCAATAGGAGCCACAGAAGAAAGATAAGGAGCTGGGTTCCCACTGATCAGACAACATGCAGGATGCAAGATTTGATATTTCCCCTGGGGGGAAAGTAGAAGCCTTAGGTATAAAATGCCAATGTTTATATGAGTGTAAACAGTTAGAAAGGGATCAGAGACTCCATGTACAATGCTTCTTTATCTTCTTGCAGAGGCATCCATCATCACCAGATCTGAGTTGTTCTGTATTTTCTCTTGGGTACTTTTTGGCACAGTGCTCTGCCTAGTTTTGAATTAAGCAATAATTCTTTTGCCTTTTATTTTGGGACTCTATTCCACAATTAATCCTAGCCAGCTTTTTCAAACAAGAAGTTCACATGTCAGGAAAATGACATAATTGTTTTTCTTTACAGTTTTCACGACAAATTCATAATTTAGGTAGAAAAAGTTTGTGTTTTTCATTTACCCAAGCCACATTTTTATAAAGCATTTATTAAACATTTATAGCCTAAGCAATTATGAAAATCCCAAAAAGTGTTGAAATTCTTAAACTTATTCCTTGTATACTGAGCAGCACAACCTTCAAAATTTAATCTTACTTTATGGCAGAGGCAGCCATCTTATCCTCACATCTCCTGTAAAGCACAGGTCAGGTAACTCCAGCAAGTAATAACTGAAATTTCATGCCTGGAAAGCTTTTGATGGTATTCAGCCTTTATTTTAAATGTCAACATCTACTTGTGTGCTTTCTGCAACCCAAAATAATCTCTTGCTTTAGCACTTACATGAATTGTACACAAAAACATGATGCACAGATATTATATCAATAACCTAGGCCATACTTAACTGCAGTTTCTTAAAGAAATTTTAAACCACCCCTTTCTTTATACAACTTATTTTCTCCTGCATAAAGAAAAATATCTACTTGGAAGAAAACCACCATTCAGTAGAGCCTTCCATTGAAATGACACAAAATAACTATTATACTATTAGTTTTCAGAGGGTTCTTTTTAAACAGCTGCAGTGTAACTTCTTTAATTTAGTGGATTTACTTTAAGAAAGGTGATAAAATTTACCATTCCATTTCATGGCTTCACTGCTGCCATAAAACCAGTGTCTCTGCCTGCAATACTCCTTCAGAAATAGAATGGAAATACTTTACTTGCTTATTTTGAAGATAAATATATGTTTGTGTTTCAGGAGCTGATGTCAGACAAGAGTCTCTGCCAAAATGCTCATCCCCTTTGTTAAAATGTTCCTAGCTGATATGCTAGAAAAGTGTCCAGAAATGAAAAAATCATTCTCCCAGAGTTGCAATTCTCATTAGTGTTTGAGTACAGTATATTCACATAACAGGAAGCTTAATATGCACATTTTAGAGGACATCTCATGCTTTGCAGAGTGCATTGCAGGGAGGGCTTGCTCACTGTTGAAATATGGCTCTCTCTCTAGTGGATGCTATCGGGCTGGTAGATTACATATTGCAAGTCATTTAGGGAACACAGTGGCACAACATACCATTGGTCAAAAATAGATCAGTCTCTGATATGACTAATAAGAACACTCTTAATGTACATTAGAAAGGAAATAAAATGAGTGTTGATTCCTATGCCTCGGAAAATCAGTCCAGCATAAATCATCTAGGTCAGGAAAGAATCTTCCTCTAATGAACAGCTGTGGACTTCTCTCAACCTTCACCTATACTGGCTGTTGTTGTAAGTAAAGCAGAGAGATAAACTGGTCTAAGCTAGGTTCATGATGAAGAACAGAAAAAACAGAGTCAGAAATTAATAGAACAATGGAATAATAATTTGTCCCAATAGGATCATGGTATATTTTGTTGTGCAAATCACGTCACATTAATTTGAATTTGTAGTCAGAAGGACTAATGTGACATATTTAACCCAGGCTTGAGATGACCATTTGATTATGACAAGGAGAATATTACTTAAGACAGAGGACATGGGGAACTGTAAAGTGAGGAGCTGGTTATGAGCATATAGGGAGGTTAGTAGCCTTTCAGTGATCATCTAAGGAACAGGATTATGTAAAGGTTTGCACAAATGATGTCTAAAAGAAGTAGACAGAAGCATGCATGTTGAAATTATGTGACCTCATCGAGTTAGCATAAAACTGGGATAGCACATAGGAAAAATTGAGGACCAAGTAACAAAAGTGAAGCAGAACTTGGTAAAGCAAAATCATGTACTTGGGGATTAGTAAGAATTTCTTCGATACACTAGGAACTGAACCACAAATGACAAAGAAGGAAAAATGCCCAAGTATATTATTTAATTATAAATTGTCATATAGAAATGAAAATATCATGAAAAGGACAACATAAATTCTGGGATATACCAGGCAAGGTATATCCCAGTCAAATCTGGAAGTACTGTGACTGTTTCAAAGGACACTGTAGAGCTGCTTTCCAGAAACTTGTCTATAATTCCAGTCACCCACATTAAAAAAAAAAAATTTACAATCAAACCCAAAATTAAAACTGAAACAAATGAAGAGAAAGGCTACTAAAGGAAGGACTACTAGGGAAGTGAGACACTACTTTACTAGAGGAGACTAACAGCTTCTTTAGCTTAACAAAGCAGAGGCTGAGACACTGGATAATTGCTTTCTACATGGAGTCAGGAAGCAAGTGCTAGAGAAGAAAACACCATTTAAACCTAAAGTTGGCGCAGGAACAAATGGGGATAAACTGGCTATTGAAACAATCTACCTTGAAAATCCTAGGAAAGATGCAATCTGTCAGAAAAGCTGGTTGTGGAACAGCTTTCCAAAAGACATTCTTGGCTCTTGCTCTAAGCTAGTTTTAGGTTAATGTTTGTTCAGACTGATGAAAATTATGTGATGTTGGGCCTATGACAGCAACAAGGTATCCACTTCAGCCCTATCTTATTAATCAGTGACATCAAGAATACTAGAGTAGAGTCACTGAAGGAGGGCCTCATACTATTTTTAACATTCACGGAGACACACAAGGTGTCACATTCTAAAAGCTCAATAAATGGCTGCATCCTGCAAGAGTACCATCAGTTTACCTGCTGTAGATTTGCACGCTGGGACAGATTATGGTGCTGTTGTGCCAGTATGGAGGACTCTCACCATCTTTTCTTTCCTTTGCAGATGTTTGTGAGGCTTTAAATGTGACAGTCTATCCAGGACCAACAGTGCAATACTCCGAAGGAGATAATGCTACCCTTTACTGCCACATTTCTCAAAAGAGAAAGACAGACAATTTGCTGGCTGTGCGGTGGGTCTTCGCTGCATCACCTACCCAGGAGTATCTGATGATCAAAATGACAAAGTTTGGGTCTGTCCAGTATTATGGAAATTATACTCATCATTTCCACAAGCAAAGACTTCATCTTCTTAAAGAGAAACATGGAACTATGTACAAATTTCTTATTCTAAGCCTCCAGCAAACAGATCAAGGACATTATATATGCAAAGTCCAGGAAATTGGCAAACACAGGAATAAGTGGACAGCGTGGTCAAATGGCACAGCAGCTACTGAAATAAGAGGTGAGAGACTACTGATTTCAATTCTATCACTTGTCTTGTCCCATGATCCTTTTTTTTCCTTTTTGCAAGTTCATCCAGAAGACATTTGAAGTTAGGTTATTTTTAAGTGCTATCTGTGGATATGAGAAGAAACCCCAATACTCAACTTCTTTACTTACATATTACAATTTAGACATTATTCAGCCCCTAATAAAGTGTAAAGAAGTGAGAAGATTGGTAGATTTGTAGAAGATAGTCTATTTCCTTTGCCTTTTACCAGAATATCAGTAATTAAAAGTCCTTTACATTAAGCTACAGGCCTGTGGTGGGTTGATATTGGCTGGATGACAGGTGTCCACCAAGCTGCTCTATCACTTCCCTCCTCAGCAGGACAGGGAGGGGAAAAAATAAGATGGAAAAAAACCCTCATGGATCAAGATAAAGGCAGTTTATTAAAGCAAAAGGAAACGCTGCGTGCGGAAGCAAAATGAAATATTTATTCTTTATTTCCCATAAGCAGGCGATGTCCAGCCACTTCCCACAAAGTAGGGCTTCAGCATGCATAGTGATTGCTCTGGAAGACAAACGTCATAATAACAAATGGCCACACCCCTCCTTTTTCTTAGCTTTCATTGCTGAGCAGATGTCATATGGCATGGAATATGCCTTTGGTCCATTTGGGTCAGCTGTCCTAGCTATGTCCCCTCCCAAGATCTTGCCCCCCCCAGCCTATTAGTGAGGGGGAATGTTAGACAGACAGCCTTGATGCTGTGCCAGCACTGCTCAGCAGCAGCCGAAACACCAGTGTGTTACCAACACCTTTCTAGCTATCAGTATAAGCATAGTACTATGAGGGCTGCTGTAGGGAAAATAAACTCCATCTCAGCCAGTCCCGATACAGGGTCTCTACAACATTGCTAGTGGACATAAACAAATGCCATTATTATTTAAATACAAAGAGACAGAAACAAAGAGAAATTAACTTATTTTCTGAAGAATATGCAGTGGCACAGCCAGAAATAGAAGCATTATATTTTACATCTATGTTTTACCTCTTTCTTGATGATTTAACTGGCTTTAGTTCTAGTCTATCAGCAGTTGATAAGTAGAATTTCTAGTATCACATCTATACGTTGCTTTATACGACTTCTAGCCAGAAAGCAGAGCTAGAAAATCAGTGACCAGCCTCTTACAGCCTCCCTCCTTCTTTCAACCTTCCTCCCTCTTTCAGCCTCCACTTTTTTCTGGCCTCTGCCTCCCCCTGGCCTCCCACCCTGTTTCAGCCTCTCACCTTTTTTCAGCCTCCACTGCCCTCTGGCCTCCCACCTCTTTTCAGCCTCCCACATTTTTCTGGTTTCTATTCCCCTTCCAGCCTCCCTTTTCAGCCTCCTGCAGCTTTTTGGCACCCTCTTCATTTGGGCCTTGATGTGCTCTTTGAAGAATTGAATCTCTGGAAGAATTTGAATCTATTGAATGCTTCATCTCTCTGTCTTGTTCTCTTTTCCTGTCTTTTGTCATGCTCCACCGCTCTGTCCTTTTCTCTGTTGCTCTTGCTGTTTCCAGGCCAGCATCCTACTCCCTGTCTCTCTTCCGCTGTTGTCTCCTGTCACTCACCTCTCTTCTAGATGCCTCTGTGTGGCCTCCTCTCTTTGCTGATCCCTCTGGCTTGCTCCCCATCACTGGCTTGGCGCTCCTTCTCCACCTCTCTGACTTGGTCCTGTCCCTCTCCTCATCTCGGTTGCTACTGTTTCTTTCTCCATCACTGCCTCGCTGCCTGTCCCTTTTCTTCTCTCTGTCCTCCATCCTCTCCCGGACATTTTGCCTGTAGAGCTGCATACCACTCTCTGTGATGCTCTTTCCTGCTATAGCCCCATGCTCAGCTCCCTGTGCCATTCTGTCCTGCTCCGTGGCCTTTTCCCTTTCATCTTGTAGCCTGTCCTAATTCCTCTCACTTTCTCCTTCTCTCACTCTCTCATCCCCTCATTCCCTCTGCCTTCTTGACCGTCTCTTGCTCTCCCTCCTTCCCACCTTCCTTTGCCCCCACATTTGAGTTCTCTCTCTGTCTTTCTGGTCTCTACTCATCATTATCTCTCTTCCTCCAACTTTCTCCCTGACCCTGTTTTTCTGCCACCATGCACCTGGAGGACGACTCCTTCCTTTTCTAGTGATTTCTCCATCTCTAATTCCCCCACGGCCTCTCACCCCATTTTGGCTTTCCAGCCCTTTTCAAACTCTAATGCCCATCAGAACTTGGACCCCCTTCCAGCATGTACTTTTTTTTTGGCCTATATTTGCCCTGTGGCCTCCCACCACATTGCAGGGCCCCCAAAACAGTCTCCCCAAATAGTGCCTCCTGTAACACAGCCCCCCTTGAAAAATCCCCCCCTGAAATAGTCCCTGCCAAAATAATCCCCCCTGAAATAGTCCCTGCCAAAATAATCCCCCCTGAAATAGTCCCTCCCAAAATAATCCCCCCTGAATTAGTCTCCCACAAAATAATCCCTCCTGTAATAAGTCACTCTCTGAAGTAGTCCCTCCTGTAATAGCTCACCATCTGAAATAGTCCCCCTCAAACTAGTGCCCCTCTGAAATGCTGGGGTTTCAACCCCAAGCCCCAAATTAAGCTTGACATGTGGGTGATTCCCACAGCCCTTCACAAAGGGGGGGGTGAGTTTACCTTTAGGCTTCCCTCCAGGGTACAGCCAGCCTGGCAGGAAGAGCCATTAGGTAAATGAGCCCCAGGTGTCCCCCATTAAGTAAACAGAGATCAGGTGTCCCACTTAGGGGATAAACCTGGGACCACTTGCAGGAAGAAGGGAGTGTCTGTGAGGTGGATGCACTTTGCAGAGTTTCTTGTTGGGGAAGGATTTCCCAACTTCCTTGAATTGGGCTCTAGTCAGGTCTGGCTTTTGTAAATGTGGGCTGTGTAGAGATCTGTTGTGGAGCTTACTTGGTCTTATGTGTTTGGCTTGTTGACCTGGTTGTCTCCCATCTCTTGTCTTGAACTTCAGATAAAGAAATGACCAGCAATGAGAAAGGGTTTTGAACCAAATTGAATATGAGCCTTCACTCTGGGATGGATCAGCTCAAATCTAACACCACTACAGCTATACTTTCAGAGATGGGTGAAACTGGATTTAGAGAACAGATTTCTTTGAAGAGGTGGTTGAGCTCAGCAGTTGTGCTATTAGCACTAGCTGGCAAACTAGTCCTCCCCTTGTGGCTTTATAAACAGAAAAAATTATTTCCTATAGAGCCAACTCTAAAGATAAGCCAAAAATCAAGGGTGGCTGCTTGGTCCATGGATCTGGAAATTCAAGAAGCTCATCCTGCAATCACAGAAAAACTTGTGGGATCAAACTCTGCTTCACAAAGTTTCAGCCATTCCTGTTCATGTTAAATTTATCACGGTGTTTAGACCTCATATGTTATCCCTGTAGCTGGGAAACCCTAATCCCACTTACTTTATGTTTTTGCAAAAATGGCCCTAGCGCTTCTCTAAAAGCAATTCTGGTCTGAGGTAACTCCACTGACTACAGGCCTTTTCCAGATGTATTTGATATTTATGTAGACTTAATCCAAAGCACATTCCCTCAATGCCGGCTTCACTGATATCGTTCAGGTTTCTGTATTACTTTTGGCTTATAAACACAGCAGGGAGAGAAATGTGACAGTAAAAAAATAATATTTTTGAGTGTATGATCCCTTGTGGATAGCTTTCAGGTATCACAAGCTTTCACTTTGATCTATCAGAAGTTTGAGAATGAAGATGTGAAAAATACAATATAACAAGAGATAAAGAGTAGCTTTGCATTGACCAGCAATGTTTAAATCTCTCTAGAGAAATGATGACATCAACATAATGTAATTAGCAATTTATTCCTAGCAATGATGAAAGAGAGTAATGATCCAAAGCTGAAGTTTTGTTTGGATTAGTAGCAAAGACAATGGATCACTTTTAAACAACAGCAAGAAAATACTATTGTAAGCTATTTGATGTTATTTGGCATCAAAACTTGTCTTAGAGGCTTGGAAAACCTCTAAGACATTCATATGGGATTTCCTCTGCTTCCTGATTGCAGACAGAAATATAAATACTCACAGAGCAGGACCCAAGTCCAAAGGGAAACCCCAACCCCTTACCTGTCTCCACCAGGGAAATGCCCACCCCTCCAACACCCAGATCCCGGCTTTGTACATCAGCCATTCTTTTGCACAGAAGACCATGGAACCAGGACTTAAAGGAAAACTTCTCCAAAGTTCATTAGACTCCTAAATACAAATCACTAGAGCAATCAGTACCATGGGTCAGAAGTGTAATCCTGCAGCCAGAAGTCATCTGTAATCCATAACCTGGTATCCTAAAGAAACCAAAGCTTTCATGATCACACTATCAACTAGTCTGCCCCCTTTTGGAACCATGCGATGATTTTAATGAGATAATGGTCTTAAAAATACTGAGGTTGTACAAGTAATGTGAAATTGACTGGGAGGAGGGAGAGAAGATCTGTATGAACTTCCTCACTGAACCAAAGCTGTAAGAACAAAAAAGGTAATTATTGTTCCTGAGCTGCCATGTGCCCAGTGACCTTCCACATCGCAGTCAGTAACTGGGGGGCTCCTGGACATACCACAGGAGGAATCCAGTACTAAGGTGGTTGTGGCCAAGGGAGCCATTTGGGTATGGAACACAGAATTAATTAGCTTCACAGCTCAAAGAACAATTTGTTGTTTGATTTTTGTTGCTGTTTTCACTGTTTTCTTTTTAAACAGGGGGGAGTAAAAACACTAGAGCCCAACAACTCCTGAACTCACCATCTTAATCTCTGGAGGGCATTAAGTTGTACAGGCACTGACCTCATGTTTAGTGGCTGGAGCCAAGACACAGTGGTTAGTCTTGTAACCACACAGGGATATGAAATTAAACTTTATTACGTGCATGATTTAGCCCTACAGACTTCAGGCATTAGCTTGCTTCATGTTCAGCAGTCGTTATTCCCTGCTGTTCCTGCACAGAGAAG